TGAACATTTTTTAATGAATGAAATTTGGCCGTTCAGGCTAAGTGGGTTCCATTCCTCTCCTTCTCCTTCTTGCATTTAAAAAGTTAGAGGTCCTCCCTCTCTTCATCCCCAAATTTCATTTTTTTGTCTATGGCCTGTCAAGTCTATGGCAGGGTTTCCAAGAAGTGCACAACTGATTTCATGTGTCACAGAGGACAGTAGCTTATTCTCAAAAATCAGGCCCAATCATTCATGGCAGAGGAGACTTGTAAACACAGTTTGTGTATCTGCAATTCTAAGACAAAAAGTGAAATTGAAATAATGTCATCAGCCATGCTCAACTTTGGATGTAGGTAAAATAGCTCTTTGGAGCCCAGCCTTTTAATTAACAGTGAATTATATGTGAAGGTTAATTATACAAATATCATTGCAAAAAGAATGGTTCCCTGTACTCTTTTTTTAATTGCAGGAAAGCAGCATTGTAGATCAAAGTTTAAACACTAGGTTAACTTGTTCCAGACAGTTAGATCTGAATGGCGGAAAGTGGAATTATCTTTTTAGGGGGCAAAAGACAAATGGAAAAAATGCTCCTGTGTTTTGTTTCTTTTGGTTAAGAGCTTTCATTCCAAATAGAAGGATCCTTCCAGTCAGTCAAGGGGCAACTCACTTGCCACCATCTTTTATTCAAAGGCAGGCACAGATGTTCCTTCTGCAGGGGAGGTTTTAATTTATGAAAATGATATCGTTTATGCATGAATGCGCTCCACATAACACACACTACTTCCATCTGATGAGAGAAAACTGCAGAACCAGTGCCAATGTCAGGAACATATTCTGCAAATTTACTCGCTTAAATGTTTAATGAATATTTGGAAGACATTTACAAGCCACAAGAAAGCTTTTCAATTACCTTCTCTTTTTTCACAGCTAATAATAATTTTCACCTCCTCCAGCCAATGCAATTGACTTTAGAGGTCTGACAAATTTTTGTAGCTGCGGTACTTCAAAGAAATAATAATTAAGAGAACAAACAAGCTAAATTGGATATTGGTGAGATTTAGAAAATCTTACTCAGTATTTTTCCTCACATAGATTAGAATTCCTTCCCCTTAAATAGCAAAAGCAACAACAACAGATTACAAATTCTGTTCTCAGTGATATCAACAATAATCAGTTGTTTACACAGATACTTTGATATCAGCAATGCAAGTAAAATAATATTTAATAACTCCTTCCCTATACTTCTACACATTTACTGCTAAACTGATTAGTAAATTGATGGAAGTAGGAGTATTCAGGAGTGTTCCCTTACTTCACATGGTCATACTCACTGCTGTTATTCTGGCCTAGGTATGTACAGTTTCCTCATCACTGCCGGAATTCATTTTCCCAAAGCTAGTATGGTTGGGATACAAGGTAGCCTCCTTTTCAAACTTGTAACCTCTCAAGTATCCTCCTTGGTTTGGATCCAGACTTAATCACACATAGAGTAGACCCACTAAAGTTCATGGAATATAAGTTGTGACTTACTGCAGTCCTACTGGTTTCAGTGGCTTGTATCCCATGACCTTGTTTGCACGACAAAATCAATCACACGTAACAAGCTATGGTGGGTTGTTGTATCATCTGAACCCACTGTGGTTTCAGCAGGGTGGCTTAATTTTCATGAACCACCTTGAGAATCCATGCCTTGTTCTATGGACTATTCAACTCACAATGGGTTGTTGTGCTGGCCAAACCCAGCAGGGTGAATTATCATGGGTGGTTGATTACAACTATGAAGCCATTTTGGCAAGAAAGGCAAAACCATCAGCTGCTTGCTTTCACAATTTTGCCAGCAACTACCCTTCCACCAAGATTGAAATGTGCTTTGGAAAGATTATCACTCCTTTCTTGGCTTTTTAAAATGTATTTGCTAATGTCTCAAAAAATAATTGGATCTGCATTTTTCAAACCTCTGAAAAATGCACAATTTTATTATTATTATCTTGGTTATTTACAGCATGCAAGTGTAGACTTACAGAGTCTGTATTCCGCCCATTACTTAAAGTGGGAAAGGGATTTTTTTCAAGTCTCAGGATGATTTTTTTAAACAAAATAAAACCTGTGTCAGTTTTTAGAAATGTGTTATTACTTAATATTATCATGTTCCTCTCCTAACATTCTACTAGTAACAAACACAGCTTTAAAAAAGAATTAAATACCTCTATCTCTTGGTTCTAAGAGTTTTCTTTAAAGTACAGTTATTTATATTCTATCAGACTAGATAGTGACTGAATTTATTATGCTTTTCACCATGGCCTAAATATGCTATTTAAATGGAAAACCACTACTGCAATTGCATTCCCCTGCCATGGTACTCATTCACATAAAATATATTAATTACAGTGATGGGATGAAAAACTAAAAATAGGCTATTGTTTAAATGACAACAGGAGTGGTTTCAATAAAAATATTTCACTGGAATATGTATCTGACATGCTGTCATAAGGTAATGTAAAATTATGCTCAAATGTTGTCTTACACATATTTAGACAGAAAAAAAAGGCCTGTAACAGGGAAATGCTGGGACTGTAGGCCATTTTTTGTCTAAAAACTTGCATAGGATTGTATCTTAATACTGTTAAATTGCCTATAGGATATGGTAGTGACTGAATAGCTTCCTTTGATTTTTCATTTCCAAGCTCGTAATACTTTGCCTTACAGTGACATTTATGGAAAGAATCCATAGTCAACACTTGTGATATAGATTATATAGCATAATTCTGATGAGACCAACATATGAAGTAAAACCATGGGACAATGTTAATAGCAGTACAGCCAGACTATTGCTTCTTGTTTCACTGAAATGAAAAACTAAATTAATGGGCTATGCTTACACCTTTAGTGTTTGAAGAACACTGCATGGTAAAACACAGTGCAAATTAAAAGGAAAAAATGAATTCAATATCCCTGTTCTCTGATTACTTGGAACAAATACAGTGATCATAATGAATTAGTATTTCTGGAAATTTTGATAGAGTATTATCCTTCAGTGAAGCCAATACAGAGCTATTTCTCTGCAGATTGTGTCCAAGTCCATGCTCAGTCCAGAAAGTGTGAACTGGGTAAATCCCCAGAAAAACTGATTGTGGTAGAGCACTGATGGTTAACTGATATGGTTAACTGATACAATATGGTTAACAGATATACGATTCTACAAACCTATTATTGCTGTAGTTTTATTATTTGGGATTTAAAGTATGTTTTACATATTGCTGACATCATTTATTTGCTGCCTTGACCTTCCTATTAGTGAAAGGATAAGATCTAAGTGTCTAAAATAAATATTCTTTAGGGAACACTCGAAACGTATTTTCAAATGTCCTTCCTAGTAACAGAGATTCCCTATTTCCTGGATGTGCCTGTTGGTATTTTCTACCAGGTTGCATTATAATCTGCTTCTAAGACTGAATTTAGGAAGGGAGCCAACTTTTTCAGAGTCCAACACCTTCCATAGGGTCTTGAGAAGTTAAATGATTGAGCAGGAAATATTGGACCTATAGAGCATTCATCTTGGCTGCCCATGACCAGTTGTGCTGCAGATAGAACATGGCTAATGGGGTTGCAGCATCAGCACTTCTTCATATCATTTAAGTGGACTTATAACCACTTGGGACCAGGGTGCTTAATCTTTCCACCCACTTTTTGGGAGCAGAAGGCACTTGCAACTTTGGCTTGAATGGACGGCTCACCTTTTGATACTTGTCAAGAGAAAGCAAAGTACAACCTCCCCCCCCATTTTGGGTCAATGCCCATGGTTGATACTTGCTGCATTTTGACTGCCAGTACTCTCCTGGTCATTGACCAAGCAATTTATTTTTTTATTTATTGTTCCTGTAGATATGTGCATTACTGCTCCTCCAGAACTGCAATTCCAGCGCTTAAAAAAGGAAAGAAATTAAACTATTCATACACAATCAGGGCTCAACAAAAGAAGGACATAATGAGCCACAGAAAGCCTCTCCTATGTGTCACCTGGGTATATGTTTTAGTAAGTGTGACTGTCTAAATGGAGATCAAGAAAAGCAGTCTCTGGAAGGAAAGGTAACAAGGAAGGAGGCTGGAACAAGCCAGAATGAGTCCTGGCAGGCAGAGTAGCTTGAGCTGGCATATTTGCTGGTGGGCAGAGGAGAAAGTGGGCTGTTAACCCACACTGAGCTTTATTGTCCACCAGCCATATTGTGGATTGTTCTAGCAACATCGAGCAACAGGCTGCAGCTTATTTCCAGGGTGTGTTGAGATGTTGTATGAACCCACTCAATGACTACTTCATTTGGCAATGTATTCAGCATCATTTAGTGCAGGAGAACCCATGGGGCAGCAATCCTTACAACGCAACCCTATGAACACTTACTAAAACGTCTCACTGAGGCACTATGGCTGCCTCCTAGGAAAGTGCTTCCTCCTAGGCTCGCAAACAGGTCGCCTGACTTGTACGGCAACCCCCGGCGTTCCGCGCACAGTCCTTCCTTTAGTCTGTGAAATATTGCCGGGAGCTTGTTAGTTCTTGACTGGGTGACAAGGGTCCGCTCCACTCCCGCGGCTCGCAGCATTCTTCCGAGCGCAGGGATCCTCGAGCGCTGCCCCTGCCCGCGCGCCGGGCTCTTTTCCCGCCTTTTGCAGAAGCGCCCCAGAAAAGTTCGCCCGCTCGCTCGCTCGCGCCGTGCCCGCCCCCCCTGCGCGCGAGGCCGGCCCCGTGACCGCGACGGGGGGGAGGGGTCGTGCAGGAGGAGCAGGAGGCCGCGAGCCGCACCGTGAGCCCCAGACGGAGCGCGCGCACTAGGCCGCGCACCCCCCCCCATCCCCGGAAGGGGGGGGAGGAGGAGGAGAGCGGCTCGCGGGCTGCCTTGGTAGCGGCCGCGGAGCACCGGGGCATTTTTGCTTTCCTTCTCTCTCTCTCTTTTTCCCCCGCTCGCGCGCGCGCCTTCCCCTTCCTGGGGCTGCTGAAGCACGAAAACGACGACGCGAGTATCCCGCAAATGCATCGCCGTAGGAGAATAGCGTGGGTCGAGAGCCCGGAGGGCACTGGGGCACTGGAAGCGGGCGCTGGCCGGCAGAGAAGCGGCGGCTCCTCTCGCTCCTCCTCGAGAGAGGAAGGGAAGGAGCAGGGAGAGCTGCCTCTGCGGGTGCGTGAGGAGGCGGAGAAGGTGCGGAGCGAAGACCCCCAGCCGCTCCTCAGAGGGATTTTCGAGATCCAGAAGAAGAGCTGCGACGTAGTGCTGAGCGCCCAGAGGCTCAAGTGGAGCCCGATCCAGCCTGAGCGCCCCGTAGGTGAGGGGTGTGCGCGCGCGAGCAACACCGCGAACGCGACCAAAGCTGCTTCTATGCTGGCGAACGCGTGTGCGCGCTTCCTTGGAAGTAAGCGCCTCTGAATGGGGGTCTGATGGGGTTTACTCCCGCGTAAGTGCGCAGGGTTGCGGTTCACGCATGCGCACGTGTGCTCCCAAGGAAATACTGCTGAATTCAGTGGGATTTCCCCCTCCCTCTCCTTGCCCTTAAAGCCGAGCGTGCTGCCGCCTCTTCGCAGAACAGGTTCTTCCTCCTAGGCATCGAAGCTGTTCAGTTAGTCTCCTGGCCTCTTCAGCGGCTGCGCAATTAAAGAAAAGTTTTGTTATCTTCGTGTCTCAGCTGTATCCAGGGTCGAAACTTAAACTAAGAACGATTCGGTGTAGCTGGTGGAAATCTTGATGAAGAAGAATGTATTTAAATATTAAGCTGACATTTAAAATAACCATCTCGTTCCACCTCCCAGGCTGATTCCAGGGCAGGATTTTATTATTCAATTGTCATTCTTCAAACACGGACTTTTGACAAGGGCTGCAAACCCCCAAGCGCTCCAGATGAGGCTTTTCTCTAGCGGGGGGAGTGGTGCAAGTGTCCGATTACTCATAACCCTCCCCATATTTTCCCAGTGCTTCTCCCCCACTGCTCTTTCTTACAATAGAAAAAAGGAATAGCTTCACAATAACATAGAATTGGTAAAGCTAGAAGCCTTCTGAAAGGGAACATGTCGACACTTTTAAACAGAAACCATTAGGAAGGGAAAGGTGAAAGGAGCTTCTCAGATGCCTTTGGTAGTTCTAGGAGCTGTCCACCCAGAAGTTTCTTGGATTGATATAAATCAAGGAGAAAAAGCTGTTTTCAGTCAGGTATCCAGCTGATAGTGCCACATGTATTTTGCATCCAGTGGTGCAGATCTGACTACTAAACCAAGATAATTTACAACTAAGGGTGTGATGCAGTGAAAATGCTCATAAGGCTCTGAACCTGAGTATTTCTCACATTCTTTTGAGAGCAGGGGGAACAATGGAGGCAATCCTCATTTCAGCACTGCTTCTACTTTATGCGCATCACTTCATTTTTACAGCCAGGCATCCATCCATCCATCCATCCCATTGTTGCATTTCATATATTTTTCATTCTTTTTTTAACCTATAGAAAGAAAGTCTTCAAAATATTCCTGCATAGGGCTATTTTCCCACACAGCAGCTACAACAGTTTGTAAGTATAAGAATATAGGAATTTGCACCAGACAGTTTTTCTCTTCTTCAGTGTTATTTTCAGTCCTGTTTGGCCCAGTCCCAATTTCACAAAAACAGAGTAGGTAATAATGTAATTCTCAAGAGTGATGATAAGTAGAAGAAAGTTCTGATAGTTACTTGGCAAACTAGAGTAATTTATTTCCATAAATTTCATAAGTAATTTATTTTCATAATCTTGATGACTCTGAAGATTTATATTTGAGAAATGATTCTTGCAATTGTTTCTTCATTTGCATAGAAAACTTTATTAGAAGGAAGCCTCTGATCTTGGAGGCTCAAATTATCCAGTACCCTGCTGGGCTGGTGTAAGTAGGAAAGGCAGGAGCAGCAAAAACATTTTTTTTTCTATTCTGTGCTCTTTCTACAAAATTTTCTCTATGTTGGCTTTTCAACCCATGTAGAGAAGTTCTACTGTCAGGAGTTCGGCCAATACTGAGAAAGTCATATGATCTTTCATATTCTGGTCAACTCCCTAACCACAAGAACACCCCTTTTCTCTCGCTTCAGTGCTGCCTTCGTGACCTTGGGAAGCAGCCAGATAATTCCACAATGGCAGTGAATGGCCATTGATAGGTGAAATTGGAGCCCCCTCTTAAAGTCTTAGAAATGTCTACTGCCTTGGGGTAGAGATTCTAAACAATCCTATATTCCCTGGAACATTCTGCCAGGGACCATCAGTTTTCTCTCCAAGTCATCGTATCTGATACCATTGTATTGATCCAGTTCAGAGATGATCACCCCCCTCTTTTTTACAGACCATTTAAGATTAACTATGTTGCTATTTAAGAAAAATGTACAATTAAGGGCACAATCCTATCCTTTCTTTAAAGAAAAAAACTTAGGTGGATAAGGCTGGGAGTTACAGTACTTTTCCTGACTAAACATGCATAAAATTGCTTCCTAAAAATAAAATCATCTCAATTAAATCATGGAATTTGAAATTTTAGGCACCAGTAGTGATTGTGGGGGCTGCTGTGCATGATGCTCCTGCCTGGTCTCTGCCAGATGGGCAGCAGACATGGCCTCCCCATCAAAGCGAACATCCCTGTGAGCGCATGCCTACGTACCTGCTTCCTTCCCTGTGCCCTGCCCTCACCCTGTCCCTGACCTGGCAATCCAGGGGACTCTGTGCAAGCCCCACTGTGCAAAAACTGAAGCTGAATCCAGACAACACAGGTCTTGCAGCTTTTGGCTATGCAGGAATTAACTTTGCCCAGGAAGCATCTGTGCATCATGGTGCCTTTTCCAACCATGCCCCTCCTAAAAATGACTCGATTTGCCCACAGTTATGCATGCCTTAATACCATGCAGACTTGTCCTGTCTGCATAGCTGTACATTGAACTAGCATGTCAAGTGACCTTTGCTAAGCTGGAAAGACAGGCCTGCAGCCAGATGGGTGAGCAAATGTGGAAGCAGAGCAGGGGGTTGGACTTGATGGCCCCTTTCAACTCTACTGCTATTCTATTCTGAATGTAATGTGTTACATGTGAGTCTCCCTTTGAAAAGTGTTCAGAAATTGTGGCTGATCTAGAATTCAGCAGCTAAGATGTTAACCAGTTTTCTCCTTGGAACCAATAGCACTTTTTCTGGACACTCTTTAAGGTGGTGGTTTTGACATTTAAAATCAAAGTCTGAGAGCAGAGTATCTAATGGAGCTCTTGCTTCTATATGAATCTGCCCAGCAGTTGAGATCTTCATTGGTGAATCTTCTCCTTTGCTAATCTGTATATTGCCCTTTTTGTATTTTACTATTATTCTTATGGGAAAATGTAAGAAAACATTATTTTTAAAAGGACTTAGGTCCAGTGGGAAAATCCAGTAGTTATGACTAGCTTTACAAATTGATTTTGATGGGATTTCAGTGAACCTAGTTCGGTCTGTATCCAGCCTAATGTAAAAATACAAAATACTTAACAGTATCCCAACTAAAAACATATTAAATAAATCAGCAGGCAACCCTAGCCAAATTACTAAACAAATTCACATGCTGATTATCACACCAAATGAATAGCAGAAGTTTGTCTTTGCCTGGGGCCTGTAAGATAGCGCCAGAGGTGGCACCAAGCAGAGCTTGAGAGAGCATTCCACAGCCGTGACGCAACTACAGAAGAGACCCCGTCCCCAGTGCCCAGCTCACCGTCGTGTGGAGGCAGTCAGAGCAGCGTGGACATTTTCTGTGTAGCGGTTCCCTGTCAAGAATACTCTGACATGAAAGAAGTTTAAAATCCTTAAACCAGCAGGAAATTGTCCGTTTCTTATGTTTAGCATTGATTTGTCCATACTATCACATCTTCGTGTATGCCTTAATTTGTGAAGTTCTATTTTTGTTAATAGTTGAATTCTTTATATAAAATTGATAAGTAAAGTCCTGAGTAGCTGTGAATTCTGAGCAGTATGTGCTTGCATGCTTTAAGAGACTGTCATAATTCTTATGTAGTTGTGTTTCATGGGAAAAAAACCATTAATTTCTGCTGGTTATGCCTTCTTATCTGAACATTCTGTTGAAACATAATGTGTTGGGTATTTGATACATGTATTACTATCCTACCATAAGGGTCCAACTGATTTTATGATAGTATTAGATTTCTTCCACATATGCTTATGTTTTCGCCCAGATGAACTCAGTGAACATCTGTTACTTTTGTGGTGGTATCTGCTGTTTGCTTTGAAAATTTGTCCTTTTGCTGAATTACAGCTACAATTCTGCAGTTTTTCAGTATTGCCAAGTTCTTCTATCAACAATATATTTTCACTAATGAGCTGTTAATACATAGTTCACTTCTATCATGCATAATCATATCAGCATATGAGAACTAGTAGTTAAATGAGCGTGGGTATTTTAAATGTGATGTGTTACTCATTCTTGTGAAAAAATCAGTTCCATATTTACACATAGCAGTTAAAATCTGTAGTACATGTTTCCTAATAGAGAAGATGTTGGGAATCAGGTATTCTGCTATTGGAATATACACAACACACATGAATTTACTTATTCATCCTAATCTAGTAGCAGTAATTCATGTACAGAAACTGGGTTCTGCTGCCAATGCTCCAAGGTCTATATTATTATTAAGAATATTATTATTAATAATAATAATAATGTAATCCCATTATTTTATTTTACTGCCCCACACAGCTGAAGCTCTCTGGCTGTTAAGAAGGGGAAATGCCACATTAGCACAAAAATCATATAATCATAGATGACTGGCATTGTCAGCATGAAAGCATCTCTGGAGGCAGACCATTATTTGCATCTGTTCACAATATTTAGATTTTCAAAGAATATATTGCAGAGATGGACAAAGAAATGTTGTGACAGAGGAGAATGCCCAAGAAATGTAGTTAAGTCTTATTGTACTATCTAGCCAGCACTTCTCTAATTTCTGAGCCTCCCCCAGCCATTGCCTAAGCTATCCAATGCTGTTGGCAGATGTCATTTCTCTGACAAAGTTTGATATGATACTAGCATTTGATGCATTCATTATAGCAAAATGTATAATCTTGGGTAGGGCTTCTTACTGAATCCATTTGAGTTTCAGAACTTGGGCACATTGCAGTGTGCCTAAAGTTGCTTGGCTGTATTGCCAGGCCAAGACCTGATAGGTCTTTTCTGGAAGAAAATCAGCATTGCATGTTACAGTCCATCCATGTTACTTGCTGCCCCTAATAATCCAAAGATGTTTTGTGGGCTTTTAGTTTGTTTTAAAATAATTGTATCTGCCGAAGTG